TCACCATGTTGACCAGGATGGTCTCGATCTATTGACCTCGTGATCCACCCGCCTCGGCCTCCCACAGTGCTGGGATTACAGGCTTGAGCCACTGCGCCCGGCCTGTTATTAGCATCTTGTTTGTATTTTCCATGTGGTCTGATGAGGTGCTATAACATCTGTGGATTTATAACGTATCTGTGCATGTTGGGGAGCAGTTTATTTCTACTTTTCTGCACATCCCCTTTGCACCTTGAGTCTGTCTGTATTTGTCGCATCTGTCACCAGAACACCTTGACGTCTGGCTGTACATTGATACATTGATACAGTTGGCATTTCTTTTTTTTTTTTTTTTTTTTGAGACGGAGTTTCGCTCTTGTTACCCAGGCTGCAGTGCAATGGCACGATCTTGGCTCACCGCAACCTCCGCCTCCCGGGTTCAGGCAATTCTCCTGCCTCAGCCTCCTGAGTAGCTGGGATTACAGGCACGTGCCACCATGCCCAGCTAATTTTTTGTATTTTTAGTAGAGACGGGGTTTCACCATGTTGACCAGGATGGTCTCGATCTATTGACCTCGTGATCCACCCGCCTCGGCCTCCCAAAGTGCTGCGATTACAGGCTTGAGCCACCGTGCCCTGCCACAGTTGGCATATTTTGAAGCTTTTGTCACTTTCTTTGTTTGGGGAAGTAAGTGATTTCCCCTCTTCCTGATTTAGTCATTTTTTTCTAATGTTATTCTTTCTGATATCAGTGTGGCCGATGTCGGAAGAGTGTCAGAGCAGCACTTCAGAAAAGAGCCAGGTGTCATGAGAAGCTGCTGGCTCCTCTCTGTCCCTCTGAGGTAGATTCAGTATCCTGTTCCTCTCAGCCTCTCATTAGTGTCCCTGACATTGTGCCAAGAATGTTGATTGAAATCGACTCTCCGGATACTGATGCTCATTTGTGATGCCCCATGGTTCTCTTACATGTTCGCACAGTTAACAGAATCTTCTTCAACTGTTTTCCCAATTGAGATGAGATATTTGGGGATCAAGTAGAGCATTTAATGTGATAAGTGGACAGTAATCTTTAGAGGTTAATTTGTTTAAAACCTATGTAAGGTTGGGGTCCCATATGCACCGTTAGGAGCAAGGACCATTATAATCCATTACTGTTTAAAAGTTGAGCCAGCACATAAATTTTAATTCACTCTTAAATGAAGATGTATTTCAGTAGATATAATGCTGAAATGCCTAATAATACTCTTATAAAGAAATTCAACAAGCTCTTTAGCCTAAAATATATTGTTCAAAGTTGTCTCTTAAAATTAAAGCCTCACATTACAGATTAATAAAAATGAGAGCTTTAGCTATTTAACCCACCCCTTTTTTTCTGTTGCCATATAATCAGTTGTCTTTGACTTGGAGTTTGAAAGACATCTGTTTAGTTTCATGGAAGGATCTGAGATAAATTGTATGCCTATTTGTATTGGGCCCCCAGAACCTAGGGAGGTGTCTGGGGTGTAATTTTTACATCCAGCTGTGAACAGTGCTTTCCTTCACTATGTGACAGTGCCCTATACCCAGTCTTCCAAAGACCCCAGAGTCATAGCACCAAGCCCATCAATGGGAAGACTTCTTGATTTGAGCCTACTTTCAGCCACCCAGGAAGGACAGTGTTAGATAGAACAGATGTGGGGATTGAAGCTTCCCCATTCACATCCATCATTGTACAGCTTAGTAATGACGGTGGATGATATAAAAGCTCTATGGCCAGTGTTTTTCTTTCTTTCTAGGTGGTTCCAAAGGTGCAATGGAAAGTATCTGGTCTGGAATTGAACTGCATAGAAAACATTTCTATTATTCCATCTTTGTATTATGACTATATTAAGTGCTGTTGCCCAAAAGGATAAAGGAATCAAGTTTTAGTTTTCATTTTTATCATTGCAAATACATTTACATTCTCCTATTTTACAAATGCAAAGAGCAGGCAAGCCACTTTCAATAATTTATTTTAAAATCAATGCTAATGAGGTTATGTCTCGTCAGTGGCCGAGTTTTACAATAAAGTCTGATTTATTTAGAAAAGATCTTTGGTGAAGCTTCCCATCTAATGGCAGTGGGAAGGAGGTGGAGTAGCAACACAGTGACCCTCCAACTTCGGATCCAATTTGTAATTCACAGTGGAGATCTGACCCAATTTACATTGATTAGAATTGGGAGGAAGAGACAGCTGCACACAGACAGCAGAGGTAGAATAAACCCTCTCTGCAAAAGTGCCTAAGCACAGCAAATTATTGGTCTTTGTGATGGAGTTGTTTGATACCAACAAAAGAGCTGCTCTCTCTCCAAATTGTTGGGTATCTCTAAAATGGAGGATGTACCAATTTTTCCTCTAATGTTTTCAATCCTAAAATTAGTCCCATGTCAAAAAGGAAATGCATCATAGCAGAGAAAGGAAGGAAGTGGACGAGTAACAAGAAGACAATATGCAAAGAATGTTTGATGCAGTTTATTTCAGCATGATCTGTTTCCTATATTTGATTTCACTCCTCCATTAGCTTAGGTTCTTTTATTCTCTGTGGTAGGGTTGAGGGAACACTACACGTGGCAAGTAGAACATTCTCTGATGCTAGATCATACATGGCTATAAGAACTGTTGAGTCAAAGTGCTCCTTTTCCCATACCATATTATAGGGCAAATATATATGTATATATATCCCAGAGTATCAGTCTTTTTTGTTTTTTAGAGACAAGGGCTCGCTCTGTTCCCCAGGCCCAGGCTGGAGTGCAGTGGTGCAATCATGGCTTACTGCAGCCTCAAACCCCTGGGCTCAGGCAATCCTCCAGCCTCAGTCTCCCAAGTAGCTAGAAGTACAGGTGTGCACCACCATGCCTAATTTTTGTTTTTATTTTTTGTAGAGACAGGGTCTTGCTCTGTTGTCTACGCTGCTCTCAAACTCTTGGGCTCAAGTGATCCTTCCTATCAGCGTGCTAGGATTACAGGCATGAGCCACCACACCTGGCAGTATCAGTCTCTTTTTCACTTGAAATCAATTACTTCTTTAATGCTCTATAGTATTCTAACATATTTTTATTCTGCTACTTCTTATCTATGAGCTTGGAGCTTACTTTTCCAGTCTGACATACCAGAACTCATATTGCCCTATAAACATTACATTTAAAAAAAGAAAGAAAAAAATGTCCCCAGACCATCTCCTCAAAGGTTCATTTAGTGGCAAAACTATAGAGAAGTAAGACAAGCAAATGTTGTAAGACTCAGAAGGAGAAAGGAAAGTAAATGTAGGCAGGAGAAGCTGATTATTCAGCCCTCAAAACATTGCTTATTATACCCTATCTACTGTGCACGTGTGTGTATATATGTGTGAGTGAGAGAGTGGGAGAACATGGTGGTAGTGAAAAAAATAGTGAGTGTATTCTTGTTCACTTTGCCCCATGTATAAAATAGCGAAATATTATTTTGGCACATATTTACTTTATAAAGGCCCAATTCCTACTTTATCAGGTAATGTGATGAGATGAAACAGGTTAATGAGGGTAAGAAACTTAGGCCAATCATGTTATGACTTTGACAGTATAAACACTTGACTGGAGTTAGACAGTGGCATTGACTTAGAATCCATTGTGAATCTACAGCAATTAATTAAAAGATCATTCCAACTACCCTCAGGAGCTTATACTCTAATGAACAAGGCAGGCTGAATAAAAACAGTAAAAAGATAACTACAAGCCCCAAGTACTAGGAACATAAAATTATGTACATGACCAGCCTCTACTACAGCTCAACAAAGATGGATACATTAAGGATTAAAGACTAATTAACCACAGGAAGTTTTTTGGTTTTATTTCCCTGAGTCAGAGTCTTGCTGTCACCCAGGCTGGAGTTCAGTGGCACTGCAACCTCTGTCTCCCGGGTTCAAGCAATTCTCCTGCCTCAGCCTCCCGAGTAGCTGGAATTACAGGCACCTGCCACCATGCCCAGCTAATTTTTGTATTTTTAGTAGAGACGAAGTTTCACCATGTTGGCCAGGCTGGTCTCAAACTCCTGACCTCATGATCGACACACCTCGGCCTCCCAAAGTGCTAGGATTACAGGTGTGAGCCACCGCACCTGGCCAATCACAGAGGGTTTAAACACCCACTTCAAATCACACACACACACGAGTCTCACACACACACACACACACACACACACAGAGACAGACTTACATCCTAACTCTGGAGTGCTTAAAACCAGAGAGAATGCTTGCATAGAGGTGATAATTTTGAAGAGAATTCCAGAGGGAAGGAGAAATGGAGTTTGAGGAAAATGATTAGGATACTGGTGATAGACACCTAAATAATCCAATGGCCTGGAAGCTCCAAAAGGGCAGGAACCCTGACAGTCTTTTTTATGGCTTGTCCCACTTCCTAGTGCAATGTCTTGCATGTAATAAGCACTTCAAAATGTTTATGAATAAATGAAAGGGAAGAGAAGGAGAGGGCCAGTTTGAAGGTGAGAGATGATTTTTTTTTTCTTGAAGATCACAGTAATTAAACTTTCCTTAAAGAAAAGAGTATGATGAGCTCAGAGAAAGGGGCCTCTCCATATAAAGAATGTGAGACTGATTGGCTGGACATGGTAGCTCACACCTGTAATCCCAGTACTTTAGGAGGCAGAGGAGGGCAGATTACCTGAAGCCAGGAGTTCAAGACCAGCCTGGACAACATGGCAAAACCCCGTCTCTACTAAAAATACAAAAATTAGCTGGCTGTGGTGGCGGACGCCTGTACTCCTAGTTGTCCTGCTGAGGCAGGACAATCCCTTGAACCTGGGAGGTGGAATTTGCAGTGAGCCAAAATCGTGCCACTGCACTCTAGCCTGGGCAACAGAGCAAGAGACTATCTCAATAAATAAATAAATAAATAAATAAATAAATAAATAAATAAATAACATGAGACTGTGAACCACTAATTGCTAATACTGATCATTTATTCCCCCAGATGAAGAGCATAATCTAGAAGAGGATGAGAGTGGCACTCGACGAAAAGGAGGTATAAGAGCTTCTAAATGCACAGGCACTGGGTGGGACATTATGGGCTTCTGATTAGAGAAAGCACCTTTTTCTGAGACTACAAAAATTACCTGACTCAATAATTAAAGAGGGTATCTATGTGTGACCCCAAGAGCCCCAAATAAAGTGACTGAGTAGGGAAATATTTAAACTTTAAAAGCAGCCATCCATTCACTTTAATTAATGGTTCCCAGAACAACCAAGATTTATCTTAGAGAGGGTAGGAAGCCAAACCAGATATTTATTTTTTCCTATCAGTTTTTCTCAAATCAGTACAGTGAAAATAGAATTGCCTCATCTCTAAGAGATCAGAGGATTGAGAATGGAAAGAATGGAAATGTCTCCTCTCTGAGAGGCCCGGAGATTGCAAGTTCAGAGGGGAATAGAAATGTGTCAGATCTGAAAAGTGAACACGGGGTGAAGGATAGAATTGCTTGGTGACGCTGACTTCTGATGGCCTGGTTTGATTCCAGGCACATTTGGAAATGAATATGTAACAGGTTTGTTGAATATAAAATTACATCTTATTCATCCCAGACTGTTAGCCATGCTTCAGGCTGTTAGTGAGCCCATCCTTTCTGAGGTCAGATGCCCCTCTGAAGCCTCCGTAAGTGGACCAAGGACCTATTCCATGGTTGTCAGTAAAGAAATGCTGCGCATTGCAAGGGCCACCTCAAGGACATTCATTCCATCAGCAGAGCCCTAATCATGACTGATTTAGATACTGGCTGATATTTTTATTAGAGAGTCTATGAAATTCTTAAGCCTAGGAATTCTTGCCCTCTTTCCCTCCCTGCTCCTTCTGTTATCTGGCCCTGTCTTTTCCCATTCTCCTCTCTCCTTTCCTTGTGCTTTTTCTTCTCTTCTTTATCCATCCACCAAAGCTCCATTTCTAGGTTCATTCTCTGCAGAAAGTAAATACTTAAAAGGTTTAGGACCCAACTTCCTAAGGGTCCAGCTTCTCCCAGGGAAGAGAAGAGATAACAAAGATGCAGCCTCAGAAGTCATGTGCCAAAGCAGGAGAGAAAGAAAGCAGTGGAGGCAGGTATGATGCAAGGATGTGAGTGTAGCTGCAGGGACCTCATGATAATGAACACATGTGATTAAGTTCATTCTGAAACTTATCTCCTTCTTTTGTCTATTTACTATACAAAATTCCAAATGAAAATCTGTTCTGACCCACCCATGTTCCACATATATCTTTTCTCAACCAACTTCCATCACCAGTGCAGAAAAGAAACGCTTCATGTGGACAGCTTTGGTGGAGTAACTGTAAGCTTCCTATGGCCAATTTCATATTAAACTCCATTCAGGAAGCATCAGTCTTTTGGCAAAGTCTAGAATCCAGTTTCAGACTCCTCCCTCATCTCATTTCCTCCTTCTACCTCTTTCTGTAAGGTTATATCTGGGAGGTGAGAGTAGATTTATTTCTTAACTGTTCCCACAGCTATAATTCAAGTAGGTTTAAAAAAAAAAAACAACCTTTTGTTCCTCATACTTCCTGCCTCCAAAATAAGTGTTGTTAAAGTATAGCGAGCTCTGAATATGTTTCTATGGTTTACACTTCCCACCAGTTATAATGATTGGTGACTTAGTGATTAAAAAAACAGGAAGACTTTTCGCTATCTCTGCAGAATCTGAGGCAGGAATTTTTATTATTTGTGTTTACTTATTTATTGATCGATTTTATGTAGTGCCTTTTCTGCAAAGGAGCTATAGAAATGGTGAAAAATATATAAATCCAAATGTCATCACTTAGTTTTGTAACAATAAAAGACAGAGGTCTGGGGGAAAGGCAGGCAGCCCCAGTGAAAGGTAAGGAGCTCTAGGACAGCCTGAATTCCTATGTCATAGACAAGCTACACAAGTTTATGCTACTTAGTTTTTCTCAGGTGTTAACATGCTTTTTGGGGGAAAAAATTTTTAAGCAAGTTGATCTTTCCCTTCTTCCTTGTTTCCTAAAAGATGCTATGGCTAGCAGAGTAACTTTTAAAATCCAAGTACTTTTTTCCAACCTCCATGAATCCTGTTCCTTGAATGCTGTGCTTTTCCCTGATGGAATTGCTAACATTTTTAAGGCCCAACTAGATCTTATCAGAATGGGTGAAAGGAATTCAGTTCATACTTATTGAGTGTTAATGACCCTGTAAGATGTAATTTCTTTTATTTCATTCTGTTACCTAGAAAATCTATCACAGCCTTGTAGTATTGATTGCTCAATCTATAAAGAGCTCAGTTTACAGCATGACTGCTAGTAACAGGGTTATTTTAATGAGTGACTCTTCAACACCTCAGATTTTCACTAAATTTCAACCCATCAGCCTAATAGTCTAACACTAAAGGTCTTGGGTAATGAGAGCTTATCACCTTTCCTTATCATGAATAGGTAACCTCCAGGTAACCAAAAATAAAACTCCCTCTGTATTTGTTTTTATAAAAATTACTAGCCATTTGTTTGCATGTGCTATGTCAAATAAAAAGCAATCCTGGAGGCACAAATCATCCTTAGATACATAAAATCCCTGACCAAGGAAAACCTGAAATAGACCCCTCCCACCCTTACCTCCCTCAGTCTACCCCAACCCCAGCTCTGAAACTGTGGGCAAACTAAGCCAAAAGGAGACACAGACCACACCACTGTGGTCTTATAAGCAGATGGTTGCTTTCAGGAGGGCCAGAAAATGAAAGACCACAGAGATGTTTGCAGCTCTTACCTTTTGAAGCCTGTTTCCCAAGACCAAACATGAGCTGATTATCAACCAACTAAAATATCGGCCCAATGAAAGAGTAAATGAGATGAAAATCAGAATGTGAGTGTTCCCCCACTTCCAACTCATACTTATAACACCAAGGACCATAGTAATTTCAAAACTCAAGATTAAAGCCCTATGAAGTAAGCAAATGGTATTATCCAATTGTTCTTCCTCCTCTGGTACCACAGTCAGTGGATACTTGGCAAATTTTTTCATAGCTTTCTTTCGAAATAGTTAATAAATTATCAAGGCCGGGCACAGTAACTCAAATCTAAAATTCCAGCACTTTGGGAGGCTGAGGTGGGAGAATTGCTTGAGCCCAGAAGTTTGAGATCAGCAAGCTTCTGATCTGTTGAGGGCAGCAGAGTGAGATCCTATCTTTTCAAAAAATTAAAAGATTAACTGGATGTGGTGGCATGCACCTGTAGTCCCAGCTACTTAGGAGGCTGCAGGGAGAGGATAGCATAAGCCCAGGAGTTTGAGGTACAGTGTGCTGTGATTGTGCCACTGGACTTCAGCCTGGGTGACAAAGTGAAACCCTGTCTCGAACAACAACAACAAAAAATTATCAGAGTTTACTTGAATGGACTAAATATGTTGGACCTTTCTGACCTGGCTTAAAGAACATTTCAAGTCACTTCCAATGGGTCACTACTTAAGGCATTTTTTGTCCTAGTCTCACCATCCCATGCTTTCGTAGGACTGGCTTTATCTGTCTTCGTATTCTGTCTCTCTTTTCCAAACTTAAGAGGTTATACTCAGTGCTAGGCCTCACTGACACAATCACTTTAGTCATCAAGAAAATATAAATAACATGCTGGCCTGCCTTTAGCCACTTTTCCCTGGTCACAGCTTGAATTCTGTAGCTACCCAGTGACTCCCAAACATAAGCTGAACTCTGGAAGGAATAGTCAGGTTTTATTGTCCCTAAGAAAGGAGAAAGGCAGAAAGATGTCCTGGTCCTTTTTACCTTAAACTTTCCTTGTAAGGCTGGGCATGGTGGCTCATGCCTGTAATCTCTGCACTTTGGGAGGCTGAGGTAGGTGAATCACCTGAGGTCGAGAGTTCGAGACCATCCTGGCCAACATGGTGAAGCCCCGTATCTACTAAAAATACAAAAATTAGCCAAGCTTGGTGGCAGGCACCTGTAATCCCAGTTACTCAAGAGGCTGAGGCAGGAGAATTGCTTGAACCTGGGAGGCAGAGGTTGCAGTGAGCTGAGATCGCACCACTCCACTCCAACCTGGGCGACAAGAGTGAGACTCCATCTCAAAAAAAAAAAAAAAACTTTCCTCATCATAGAGGCTAATTTTCAGACATTGACTTTATCATCAGTAGCACCAACTTGGCCTCAGTTACAAGAGAAATGACTGTCACTAGTTGTAAAGAACCTGGCATGCAATGACAAATGCTTTGCAATAAATACCTAGAAAAAAGAAACCAATACTTTTTTTTAAACTTGGTCTGTTGCTATTCTTCTTACGACATTTTGGTTGCTTGGAGCTTAGCTTCTCTTACATAGGATAAAGAGAATAAGATGCTGCTCTTTTTTTTTTTTTTTTTTCTGTAGAAAAAGTCTTTCTCAGCTCTGCTAGCAATTTAAATGCAGTGATCATACCCATTAGCTTCTCTATCATTGTAATTGTTGTTAATTGTTATAACTGTTTTAGTTATTAGTGGTGTCATTATTGCTTTAGGTCCTCTGTCTGTTTTATGCTGAATATATTAGTGCTTTGCTTTTGAATTACCAGGCTTTATTTAGTGCAGAGTTACATTTTTTTGGAGCGACATTGAGAAATGCTGGCATTAAGCTTTATTCTTTTGTTTTTCATTCCAAATGGACAGACTGGAAAAAAAATAATTAGATGGAATAATGTCCTCAAAATGAGAATGAGGATGTTTTGAATTAATTAAATGGTCAGAGTGCTGCACCATTTCTGATTTCAGACGGCTGCCAGAATAGTATAAGCCCAAAGGAACCTAAATCCAGCCCACAGAGGCAAGCCTTACCTTTGGGCTCTCAGTTCCTCTCCCTGAGCTAAAGAAATCAAAGTCTCCTGATACATTCTCTTGTTTATAGGATGAGTTGGGCAGGTTTAGGGAGAAGCTGGTCTAGCCCTTCTGGGCTTTTAAGCTCTTCCTGGTGCCAAGCTTCAGGAATGAAGCCCTCCTCCAACTTGTCTCTTCCCCTCTTTAAGGTACTTAAATAACACCCACTTGATCAGAAAGGCCCTTTCTAATCCCTCAAACTATGTTAGATTCCCTGTTACACACAGCATCCTCAGCCTCTCCTTCACAGACATATCACAATCACAAATAAACATTTATACAACTGTTTTTTCCATGGTGCCTCCCCGACTAGAGGGTAGCCTTGAGAGGAGGGCTCATGTGTGGCCAGTGTGGAATTCCCAGTATCTAACACAGTCCCTGGCATTTAGTAGGTACTGTATACATGTCTGTTGGATGCTGAGAAGTGAAGTTGCATGCACACATACACATAAATGCAAATCACATGTGTGTTAAACAGGAAGTCTGCAATATGGAGTCATCTTGCCCAGCTAAGGAATTACCTACCTCTCACTGATTTCCTTAATACAGAAGAGCACAAGCTAGCTAGCAAGTTTAACCTTTTCCCAGTTTTTAGCCCTTCATTCTGCCCGTTTTTTGGAGCTGTTCTACTTCTGACAATCCCTATTCTTGGGCTGAGCTAAACCATCTCCTGAATTCCTGAACTCTGTCTTCTTTTGGCCTTTAACATCAAAGACCTTTTCTACCTAAATTTTTTTCCTGGAAGGCTTCTGTTTTCCTCCTAGCTTCTTGCTTTCCCTGTGATCTGTTGTGCATTTAGAAAGGTCTTTTTTGCCGGGCACAGTGGCTCATGCCTGTAATCCTAGCACTTTGGGAGGCCAAGGTGGGTGGATCACCTGAGGTCAGGAGTTCAAGACCAGCCTGGCCATCATGGTGAAACCCCGTCTTTTAAAAAAACAAAACAAAACAAAAAAAGAATAGGTCTTTTTCTAGATGTTCTACCAGGCCCATATATACCCAATGTCAAATCACTTTTCTTATACACCAAAAGGGTACTCAGTATTAGGACCTATCCCACATCCAGGCACACTGCAGGGAACAGTCCTCCAAAGTGACCATCCACTTGGCCAGAAAAGACCAAGACAAGCTTGTCAGTCTCCTTACGGCTCAGAAATATTGTTATGGTTTTAGAATCTAATTTTATAAAAATGGTTTTCTCTACTATATATAAATCCATGAAAAATATTGATGTCAATATTCTTTCATTCCTGAATTTAGTGAAAATCTTGGGATGACTAATCAACTCCATTAAAATTGAAAATTCATAATATATCCTCTGGGAAAACTACTTTCACTTTTCAGGGATTTATATTTCTCTATTATTTCATGTACTTATATTTCCAAATATATATGCTTTGTCTTTTCAATAGTTAACATATTTCTCCCTAAGTATTTTTCTTCCAAACATATGATCAACTCTGTGGCAGAATGTTTTCACAGTTGTTATCTTGTTTGCTGCCCTCTGTTGTCTACTCACACACAAACAATTTTATGTGTGAAGAAAACATGCCTGAGTTTCTATATGGTTGACATTTTCACTGTTGTGTGCAATACCCGAGTCTTAACTAAATAGTTCTCTCTGTTCTCTGTTTTTGTACCCTTTAAGATTCCTACCAAAGTTCTCTTCCAGAGACATATAGGGATTTTGTCCCCCTATGCCTTTATTCTTTGAATTGCTCGTAAGTCAGGAACAAGTAGAAAAAAACAAATATACGCAGGGTGTCTGTGGCCCTACTGCCCACTTGCCCTATCCTCAGCCACCAGTACTATCACTGCTCTTGAGAGAGTCAAATTTAATAAAGGGAAAGGTGGAAATCTATAGAATAGATTCCCCCAAGATCATGAGAATTTTAATTAGAACTCAGGCTTCCTGACTCCCATCAGTTGAATTTCATTTTTTGTAGGTGCTTTGTTCCCAGCTCTCATACAGAGCACCCCAAGGAACAAGGAGCATCCCTGGTCTAGTGGGCATTAGCTCTCCTGCCATTCAAATCCCCAGATCCTCTCCCATTTTGTACTCTAGTGTTTAACCTTTCCGGGTAGAGGATCAATACAAATTCTTCATTGTTAAGAATCGATGGCTGTCCTGTGGCATCATTGCCATCTAGTTTTGCTGAGAAGCTCAGTAAATCTCTCCAGCTGCTTCTAAAGCTTGGTTTGTCGTCTTCAGTTGCTTTCATTTTTAATGCAGATCACTTTGGTTTCTTTTCCCCTGGGGGCTTGCAGATAAATCTTGGCAGACATGTTCAGGGTCTACAAATGAGATGCTGGAAAAGGGCCAGCCCACCCAGAATTTAGTTGTAATGGATAAGACACCCCCTTGGTTCCACTTAAAGACTGCGCTATTTGTTTCAGTATTTATTGGTGATTATCTCATATAGTACCTGGGTGGGAAGTGCCCAGGACAAAGTTGCTATGGACAGAGGAGGCCGAAAAGTGAGCTGTAATCCAGAAGCCTGCTGGCTGACTCAGCCTTTCTTGTAAATAAGCCAAAGTCACAGATTTACTCTGATCCTTCAAATGCATAATGAAGAGAAAAACTAGATACTTTAGATGGCCTGGATCAGGAAAGTCTGGCAGGAAACCTCTGCACTGCTTACTTACAAACCCAAGTGAAAAATTACCTGCCTGATTTTCTTTTATTAATAAATAAATATATTTATCATATTGTTGAACAGCATCCTACTAGGAGTGATCTGTAAATATTTAATGTTAGTTAATGATCTCCTTCTCCCATAGTCCTTTGCTCATGCTGAGTATTTGGCTGTATCTCATCTCAACCCTCCTTAATCTGAGGTTTCCTAGGGACAATGTCAGAACCCTGGTTTCCATTTAAGGCAAAAACATGGGCTCCTTGGAAAAAACAGAGTCCTTTTAACTTTGATTTTTCCTCTCTTTGATCAGTAGACTATGCCAGTTACTACCAGGGCCTGTGGGATTGCCATGGTGACCAGCCAGATGAACTGTCCTTCCAACGGGGTGACCTCATCCACATTCTCAGCAAGGTAAGGACAGAGAATATGGGGCCTGAATCGAAAGTCAATTTTTTCACTCTTGATTTAGTCACCATAAACAGAATTATTCCATGTCATACACTCCCCATGGCTCGCTCACATATAAATTCCCATTTATTCATAATTGTTGGGAAAAGTTTTAGATGAAAATCCAGATTCAGGAACCAATTTTCACATTTAAAAATACAAGGCCATGCCAGACATGGTGGCTTACGCCTGCAATCCTAGCACTTTGGGAGGTCAAGGGGGTGAATTTCCTGAGCTCAGGAGTTTGAGACCATCCTGGGCAACCCAGGTCTCCCTAAACCAGTCTCTTCTAAAATACAAAACCCCAGTCTAGTCTAAAATACTAGAAACCCAGTCTCTACTCAAATACTAAAAATTAGCCGGGCATGGTGGCATGCTCTTGTAGTCCCAGCTACTTGGGAGGCTGAGGCATGAGAATTGCTTGAACCTGGGAGGCAGGGGTTGCAGTGAGCCGAGATCACACCACTGCACTCCAGCCTGGGTGAGAGCAAAATAAATTCTGAGACAGATCATCCTGTCTCAAAAATAAAAATACAAGGCCAGGCACGGTGGCTCACGCCTGTAACCCCAACACTTTGGGAGGCCAAGGCGAGTGGATCACTTGAGGTCAGGAGTTCAAGACCAGCCTGGCCAACATGATAAAAGATAAAACCCTGCCTCTGCTAAAAATACAAAAATTAGCTGGGTATGGTGGTGCATGCCTGTAGTCCCAGCTACTCAGGAAGCTGAGGCAGGAGAATTGCTTGAACTTAGGAGGTGGAGGTTGCAGTGAGCCGAAAAGGTGCCACTGCACTTCAGTCTGAGTGACAGAGGGAGACTCAGTCTCAAAAAAAAAGGGGGAGGGGGCTGGGCACAGTGGTTCACACCTGTAATCACAGCACTTTGGGAGGCCAAGTCGGGCAGAACATGAGGTCAGGAGATTGAGACCATCTTGGCCAACATGGTGAAAACCCCATCTCTACTAAAAAAAATACAAAAATTAGCCAGGCATGGTGGTGGGTGCCTGTAGTCCTAGCTACTCAGGAGGCTGAGGCAGGAGAATCGCTTGAACCTGAGAGGCAGAGGTTGCAGTGAGCCGAGATCACGCCACTACACTCCAGCCTGGCAACAGAGCAAGACTCCTCAAAATAAATAAATAAATAATAAAAATAATAAAATAAAATTTTAAAATAAAATTGGTATTATACCAAAACTATGCCAATCGAAATTTAATCTTTTTTAGGGACTTGTGCTTAAAGGTCATCACTATGTACATAATTTATTACCATATAATACTATTGTAATCATTCTGGCTAAGTAAGCTGTCTTCTTATTTCATTTATAGATAAACAAGACTATAACATAATTACATATGGGGGAGGAGTCAGAGCTAGTTAACTCAATTGGTTTGAGCAATTGCTGATAAGGCCAAGAAAGTGAATTCAATCACACACGGGCCAGCTAACTTTATTCTCTTCCTCAGTCACAGGTTAACCCCTAGTTCCAGCTAACTATCTCACAAATAGTATTGTTGACCATAACAAACTGTTTTTTTTTTTTTTGAGACGGAGTTTCGCTCTTGTTACCCAGGCTGGAGTGCAATGGCGCGATCTCGGCTCACCGCAACCTCCGCCTCCTGGGTTCAGGCAATTCTCCTGCCTCAGCCTCCTGAGTAGCCAGGATTACAGGCACGTGCCACCATGCCCAGCTAATTTTTTGTAGTTTTAGTAGAGACGGGGTTTCACCATGTTGACCAGGATGGTCTCGATCTCTTGACCTCGTGATCCACCCGCCTCGGCCTCCCAAAGTGCTGGGATTACAGGCTTGAGCCACCGCGCCCGGCCCTAAACTGTTTTTTTTTTTAAAGGATAGATTATTATAGATCAATCACTGATGTGAAGAAGATTCAGAACTCATGGGCTACAGTCTGGGAGATCAGTAGGATCATTTTGGTAAAGAAAGACAATGCAGGCCGAGCGCGGTGGCTCACGCCTGTAATCCCAGCACTTTGGGAGGCCGAGGCGGGTGGATCACGAGATCAAGAGATCGAGACCATCCTGGTCAACATGGTGAAACCCCGTCTCTACTAAAAATACAAAAAATCAGCTGGGCATGGTGGCGCGTGCCTGTAGTCCCAGCTACTCAGTAGGCTGAGGCAGGAGAACTGCCTGAACCCAGGAGGAGGAGGTTGCGGTGAACCGAGATCGCTCCATTGCACTCCAGCCTGGGTAACAAGGGCGAAACTCTGTCTCAAAAAAAAAAAAAAAAAAAAAAAAGAAAGACAATACATATTCTACAGGTGGACTAAAATAATAGGTTCTATCCCTAGCACTTCTTAAAAAGCCCTCTCTCCATGCAATCAATCTCTACAAACACATTTTTGAAATGGGCACAACTTACTTCTTAATTGCTGAGTATGTGGATTCCATAAGGGAAAACTGAAAACCCATTGGTTATTAATCTGTCATTTATCATTTATCTTTCTTCCTTTTTAATGTGTGAATATCTTTTATCTTTATTCTGAGAATTTTACTACCTTAGGCAAAGGTTTGTCTTGGTTTGAGATATACCATAAGCACCTTAGGAAACAATCTAGGTCTGACCCAGAGCACCTTTCCATGGTTCCAACAGAATCAGGCCCCTTTAAATATGGACCCAATTCAAACCCAACCCTTTGTTTGCAACAGAGAACAAGGCCTGCAGGTGTTACTGAGTGAGATCACAATCTTCTAGTGATTTCTCCTGGATTCTTAACTCACTACCACCCTAGTGCCATTTCGGTGCAGCTCCAATACACCAAGAATAAATTGGAAGCAAAGAAGGGAGTGGACATTGGCCTGATTGGTATTTCAAATGCCTGAAAGCAAGGTTTGCCGTGTAATAGAATTTGTGTACATTACCACGCTGGCATTACAGGGGTAATCGAGTTATCCACTCAGGTGTGACCAGGCCTCTGTTTGCCCAGAGCCTGCAGGTGAACAAATTAACTGTTTACATTGTCTGGAGGTGCCTGCAGCAGGAGGTGGGGAGAAGAGAGCCAGACTGGCTGCTGGCCTTCTCTCTGTCATGATTATTTTGTTTGTTTTGCATGTCTTTTGCCTTTGTTAATGGCTTTTCACTGGGGGTCCCTTTCCTCTAGTTAGAAGGAGTTGTGCAGTGACCTGTCCTGCAGTATGGAGCTGTCTGTGGTTACCGTGGCTACCGTATTTTTAAGAAATCTCAAAGAACATGGGGAACCAACCCAATCTTTTTTTTTTTTTTAACCAATTCCTCTTCCCCTTCTCTGTTACTAAAAGCTAACATAGGCCAGGTATGGTGACTTATACCTGTGATCCCAGTATTTTGGGAGGCCGAGGCAGGAGGATGCTTGAGGCTAAGAGTTTGAGACCAGCTTGGGCAACATAGCAGGATCCCATCTCTACAAAATAAAAAAAAACTAGCTGGGTATGGTGGTACATGCTTGTAGTCTCAGCTACTCTGGAGGCTGAGCTGGGAGAATCACTTGAGCCCAGGAGTTCAAGGCTACCATGATTGCTGTCATGATTGCCACTGTATTCTAGCCTTGGTGACAGTGAGGCTCTCTCTCCAAAAAGAAAAGAAGAAAAGAAAGCTAATATATAAGAGTTTAATTCAATGAGAATACCTCGCTGCCCTGTTTCTATCAGCTTCTTTCTCCACTCTTCTGGAAGGTTCTGAGTCCATTTTCATACTGATCCATTATATTAGTAGTAGCATATTTCTTCCCCAAAAAGCTATACCAGCTGGCTCCCTTCCCCATATTGTAAATCCCTGCATATCAAAGAGGAAATGAGAAGTTAGGAGCTCAGCTGACCTTTCCCTCATGAAGCTTCATTCCAGTTAACGTTGGTTTGGGGAGCATTTCAATTTGGATTCACCTTTATTATATTACCTAATTCAATAGTAATCCTTGGACAGGAGGGAACCTTAAAAGGCCACCCAATCTATTTATTGTGTTGCTTCTAAGAAGCACAAATGAATAAGTTCAGATAGAAAAGGAGATTCCACTGTCATTCCCAGCCATCTGTCTATTCAGAAGGTCAATTATGCCTACTCTCTGGAATTTTCTCTCAGATAGATCCTAATTTATTCCCACTTTAGTCTCAGCTGCCTTCCTTTGTTGGGGTCCGTTACACTCCACAGCTGTCTCTTACACCTGTAAGGACAAAACTAACCCAAGTTAAAGAAAAAAAGAAAAAAAATAAAAAGAACTAACCCAAGTTGAATTTGGTCCAGGAAAATGGCATCTAGAAAGCTCTATTTTACTTTTCTTTTTGTCCAGTAGAAGCTCTGTTGGACAAGAAAGGCCTGCTGTTTAGGAATCTGGGGATGTCTGTTTCCCTGAGAAACACAGATGCAGGCAGCTGTGTGCTGCTCAGCTTAACTGGACTTGTTTCCTTGCCTGTTAAATGAGAGAGTGGAGTTGTATAGCATCTAAGAATCCTTCTACCTCAGACATTCCTGTTCTAAATATGGTGGGCCTGACACTGTGAAACTGCTAAGGAAGTTCCACACAAAAAAGTGTTTTAGCTTTAATTACTTATTCAGTTTAAACAAAAAATAATTTTTTTTAATTACCAGCGCTTTTGTTTTCAGAAGTTCTTATAAATACATCTGGTTTCCCCCTCTCTGTCTATCTAATAAAAGTATTCTGAAAGGCCGAGTCCGCGGTGAGGAGGTTAGAGGATCTAGAAAGGGAAGTGAGATAGAGGGGGTAGGGGAGATGATGATGGCAGCTTTGGTCGTAGGCTCCTGCTGCTTCCTGCTATTTCTTAATAGTCACCCAAGTATGATCCAACTTTGAACTCTAGAATCCTAGGACCAAACTCAGGAGAATCTTTCAGTCTTGCCTTTGGGCACAAATGATCCCAGAAAGAGGGCTATTTATCGCTTTTGTTTTCTGTTTTGGTTTGTTTTTCTTTCGTGGAGACAGAGTTTTGCTCTTGTTGCCCAGACAGGGGTGCGAT